CTTTAATAAAAGAAGCCCACACAATTTTGGGGGCCTCCTTTGGTCGAGTGGCCTAGAAAGCAAGAGAGACTTTGACTAGAACTTAGTACAAAAGAACTCTTGCCAGTAGACCGTGAAAGAATGCCACATAACTTTAGATTAACTAGAGATCCTGCCTGATTCAGCTGACGGTGCCAGCGACCTGAAACACAGATGTGTACTCTTTCCTGATTTATAGTACCCGGAGTTGGGACAGTGCGAGTAGGGAGCAAAGACATGAAAGTATTTTAAGTTGAAAAACTTGGTTTCTGACTGCTCTTTTACAATAATAGAACTGGAATTATAAGCGATAGCAAGGGAAATACCTGGTCTTTACGCCATCTATATTCTTTTTGTTCTAAATCTTTGCTTGCTTTGTTAGAACTAGGTAAGTAGTTCTACAGAGAAATATATAATCGTCCAAAAGAAGAAAAAGGCCTCAGAACCCCTCCCTAATAATAGATCACAAGAGAAGAAAAATGATGAGAAAAGAAACCTCATCAGTACTCTGAATCCAGGAAAAGAAAGGACTTGTTTATTCCTACAAGAATATTGTTACGCTAAAACAAGCACTAGTGTTGTTTAGCATAAAAGGGGGGAATGATGTGGGAAGCTTTGGAAAACCTTTGTTCACCCAAAACCCCAGGCGCCCTGGGAGAGCGATAAGGCCGTCTGGGAAAAGCAAACAGCAGGATAGTCACTAGGACTGGGACTAGCACCCCCGCTGATAGAACTAATTTTCACATTTAGCCTTTGTACTTTGCTTCTGCCCCGTAGATAGACCTGATTACCGCATTCCGCTTCTGTATCCCGCTTTGCCACGTAGACAGGAAGACCCCTAGGCTATATAAACCCCAAGAATCCTTTGTTCGGGGCTCAGAATTTGGAGACTGACTCCTCTGGGCCCGTGCACGTTAATAAACCTCGTACCCCAGAATCCCTCGGTGTCTGGTTGCTTCGTTTTCCTATAACAAAGGGGTGCAGGGCCTTAGACCTCATGCACTGACACTGGGTTCCTGAGGTCACTGTGGCAGGAGGCGGGGCCTTTGGGAGGTGATTAGGCCAGGAGGGTGAAGTATAGGGACCATCTTTAAAGTAACTTCCTAAAGTCTGTGCTAAACCTCCCAAGTGTGCAGTGTAACCAGTTCAACCACCTTTCCCCTTGGTCTGCAACATCCTTCTCTTTGAAGTAATTGGCAACATTCTTCCCTTTGTTATTGGTAAAAGGTAATCACCTGCAGTGATCCTGTGCATAGTAAATGAAGACCATCCTCCATTTAATGTGCCCAGAAAAGCAATAAAAGCCTATCCAGGCGGGGGTCGGGGCCCTCTCTCACTTAGAGAGTGGCCGTGCCGTCCCCTTTTCTCCGCAGGACTCTGCAGTCCATGTGAATTTGCTTCTCGCAGCCACGACACATGGATCCTGCCAGTCTGGGTCCACATCGGTGGAGCCTTATGGTCAGGGTTAGTGCCCTTAGTCCTGAGACCCAGAGAGCCCCCTCCCTCTGTCCACTGAGTGAGGACACAGCAGCCTGGACGAGGGCTGGGACCAGAACCAGACTGAGCTGTCACCCTGAGCTCGGACTCCTAGACCCCGCCTCCAGAGCTGTGAGACCCCCCTGCCCTGGCTGAGTCCCACCCAGAGCCACCTGGACCTGGCCTCCTGGGACCCTGCACGCCCCAAGGCAGCCCACTTTAAAATTTTCACCGAGTGGCTCCTGTGTGACCCTTCTGATCCCGCAAACTGCAGGCTGCAAGCCGAGAAGCTTTAAGCTACAAGTGAGGAGTTAAAGTAGGACGGCTCTGGGGAGAGGTGTGCGGATGTGAGAGCGTCCAAACCTGTAGAGAAGTTTTATAGAACCGAGCCAAACAGGACGCACCTGGAAGCAAGATTCCCAGAGACAGAAAATGCCTCGAAGAATGGCGGTTTGCCGCAGCTTCTACGCCTTTGGAATTAAGGGGGGAAGGGAAGGAAGTTCACGGGGAGGTGGGAGAGAGTGGGCGGGGCTGGGATGACAGGATTATCCCATGTAACGCATCACATGCTCACGAGGGCAGGGGGGTCACACTCATTTTCACCGGGGGCCATGCCAGCCTCTCAGTGGCCTTCAAAGAGTCGAATGTGACTTCAGGACTGTGTCTATGTAACTACTAAACTAGGGGCAAGGAGCTTGGCGCTGCCACCGGGTAGGAACAAGGTGCCGGGCCGGATTCTGCCCGTGGGCCTTGGGTTTGCCACCTGTGCGCTACAGGGCGGTTATTCCAAAGGTGCGTTAACCTAGTTGCCTAGATACGAACAGCAGGCAGGGCCCGCGTGGGGCAAACACCAACCTCTCCCTGGACGTTGGAGCTCTGGGGCCTGAGCACCTGCACGACCTGCCCCGTTAGGGGTTTATGGTCCACTCCCCGGTGAACCCCTTTCTCGTCCCCAGGTGGCTCTGGGGTTAGAGGTTCAACCCGGGATGGAGTTGATCTGGGAACCGCTCTGGTCCCTCAGGATCAGGGGAGGGTGCAAACGGTTCCCCCACGTGGACCTGTAATGCCAGGTTTGCTCCACCTAGAGGCTGGCCCTGTGCTTGGAAACGACGCCGTCCTGCAGGAGAGGGTGTTTGAATGCGGGTTGGGGAGAGTGGGTTTCTTTTTAGGTATGTCGCGGCTTGAACAAGAATACAAGGTCGCTCACCTCTCCTGGCGCCCACCACCCCTCCTGCACTTGGCAGACACTTCACTTGTGCACCAAAGGGAAGTGAGGTTTAAAGGGAACCACTGCAGCAAGCTTGGCAGGCACCAAGATCTGGGGCCTGTGAGGTCCCAGACCCACCGAGGCCCCCCGGAAAACGGGGCGGGCCCGAAGCAACAGCACTTCCCTCCCAGAGGCCGATTCACGCCAGGGCAGTGGTTGTGCCTACGGGGAAGAGCCAGCCTCCGGGTCTGTTCCCAGGGAACGGGCGGCCGTCCTGGCCCTGGTGGAGAGAGGACCTGGCTGCCAGCCCCCAGCCTTGAAGGGAGAGCTGGGAGACATGGGTACATCACATCCTTTTCCAGACCTTGATTTAACTAACCTAAGAACTAGGTGGCTGCTTGGGGAACCCCTTCCAAATTGAACGCTGTCATTTTAATGCGAATGTAGTTGAGAGAGAAACATCCTGAGACCATTGGAAGGAAAGGAGCCCCTTCACTGAAGCCCAGGGCTCGGTGCGCAGTGACCGCGCCCCACCTGCCCCCACGCAGGTGCGCCAGTGGACGGCAAGCCCCTTTGCCTTTAGGGGCTACAGGCTGCACTTGCTGCTGGTTTTTGTGGCTCTTTACAAAGGGATTCATTTCTTAGACTTTTCTGGGCATGGTTTTCTTTTTGCAAATAGTGACACTTTTACATCACCTAAACCAGCGATTTTCAACCATTTTCATTTCACAACACCCATAAACTAATTACTAAAATTCTGTGGCACACCAAAATATATATGAGAGTTTTTGATCTGACAAAAAAAATGTATCATTTTGATTCATTCTCACCAGGCGGCTGCCGTTGTGTTGGCTGTTGTCATTTTTCTATTTGACAAATCTGGGGAGGAGACCTCAGTGCCCCAGACTGAACAGTCAGGTGTTGCACGTTTTAGGGATTCTGGCAGCTCACCTGCTGAGCATTGCCGCCCTCGTGAAACCAGCACGAGGAAAACGCCGCCTCGTGAGCGAACCAGCGGGGAAGAACTCACACTGTGTTTCCCTCTGGGCCCAGGCGCCCAGCAGCATGGGACCCTGAGAACTGGAACCGCGGTAAAAAGGTGGGCGCTCACAGCCCCAGCCCTCAGCGGCCACCCCGGAAGCACACATCCCCTAGTGCCACCTCGGCCTCCTGCAAACAGTCTGAGCTCGAGGCCCAGGTGTTCACACAGCCACCTGTCCTGCTGACAGGTGACTAGTCCCTGCTTACTAGTGTTGGGGGAGACTGGACAGCTGTGCCCAGAACCATCCGGAAAAGAGGCCTGATGTGCATGTTCTGGGAGCAGCATGGCAAAGGCATCATGGGAAAGTCGCTCCTGTGGGAAAGACAGAAGCTGACAGAGTCTCGGAGCTCCCTGCGGAAGTACCCTCACGAGAGCGCCTCTGCTCCGTCTGGTCGTGGCAACTTGGACCAAGGTCCCGAAACATTCTCGAGCGAGGTCTCGAGTTCTCATTCCCCTGTGGAGGAGGCCCAGGCAGCCTGGGTGTCTGGAAGTTGGGGAGGGGACAGCAGAATGGCTGAATGTCTTTGGTTCTAGACAATGAGCCGGTTTGGGGCTAATGTGTATGATGGACCAGAACTCAGTGTTTCCTGGGCGGTGAGACCTGGCGATGAAACGCCTTCCTCACCGGGCGGAAGCCACACCTGCCTCCTTCCGTCAGATTGGGCCATCGGGCCCAGCACAGTCAGGCTCCCTCTGCCCCGCACACGTCTTGAAGGAGAGAACCCAGTGAAAGGCAAGGCCGTGCTCAGAGGAAGGAAAGAGAATGGGGGGCCCTGGGCCACCCCAGGCAGGGGGTGGGGCGGGTGGGCACTGCAGAGACAGAACCGGCCAGGCTGCACCTCCTGAGTGCCTTCCTGCTTATGCTCGCGATGCTTTGAGACCACACGGGCAACAGGGTTGCAGACCTAGGAGCCAGCAAGGCCTGTGCGCCCCTGAAGGGAACGCCCCGCCCCCAAGAATGCGCTGCTTTAGGAGAGAGGCAGGCAGACGGCCAGGGGCCGCTGGGCCATCGTGTCCTTTGTTCACCAAACCCGTCAAATGCTTGCGTGCTTTCTGTGGTGCCCCTTAAAACATACTTTGCCCTCTTCCCTGTTGCTGAGGAGAAGGTCCGCTCCAGGGCCGTTACTACCGGGGGTATGAGACCTCGCCCCCGCAGGGACAGCCCGCTGCAACCAACTCCCGAGGCCCGCACCGCACACGCACTCTGCCCCCCCAGGTGGGTGCCTGGAGCCCGCAGAACCGCCGCGCAGCTCTGACCTTCTCCTGGTAGAGCCTGTGAAGCCAGGCTGCGCACTCCTCCTCGTCTTCGGGGACGTCTTCCAGGGGGATCCGCCTGCAAGGCAGAGAGCAGAGCTGGCGGGAGCCCGGGGCCAGGCCCCCTGAGCGTGACTTCAAAACAACCACGCCGCGGACTTGCGGCCTCTGCAGGTGGCTGGGTCATGAGGCTGTGAAGAGGGTAGTTCAGCTGCCAGGAGAGGGGGAGCCCCCATCTGTATGGGGGAACCCAGGCGGGAGTGAAATCCTGGCCCAGGGCAGAAGGACCGAGCAGGCTCCACCCCCTTCCCTCCTCCCACCCCCGCCACGGAGAGGCCCATCAAGGGCAGCTGCCTCAGTTTCCACACGAGACAGCCTGGGGAGCACAGAGTCCAGCTGAGAAGGTGCTGGTACTTTCCCCTGCCAGGTAACGAGCCGACGCTAAGGACCAGGTGTCCCCCATCAGTGACCCAGAGCCTCTCAGGCAGCGCTGGGGCAGACTCTAGGAGGCTTTCGCAGAGTGCAAGGACCCGGTGTGTGTCCTTTCGGACGCTCGAGACAGCCTTTGGCGGTGCTGGCAAGGGCTGAGGTGTGGGTGTGTCCAAGAGCGGCCAGGACAGGGCTGCAGGGCCCCTCCCTGGCTTGCACCTGAGCGCCGAGGGGGACGGGGCCTGAGCAGGGCCTGGTGGAGCAGAGGTCCCCCTGCACACTGACTGCTCGAGGTTCCCCCAAACACCCTGGCCCTGCTGGCCCCCCGAGTGGAGTTCCTGCCGGGTGTTGTCGGAACCCAGGGGGCAGCCTCCTTTAGGAAGGTGGGTGCATTTCCTGTCCCCGGGCCTTACGCACAGTGATAGGGCAGACAGTTGACTGTGGCATCGATGGAGAAAACAATGATAATTATGCTGCTTCTTTCTTGTTTTTAAGGGAGAACCAGAGTTGCTTCGGGGTAGAAAACCATTTAACTTGGGCTGCTGTCCGTCAGTGCAAGGTCCAGGCTTTTCCCACAGCCTGGGTGGGTGACCAGCCCCTGAATTTTCCTTACGCTGTGTTGTCACTTAGCACTTCTGAGGTCTTAAAAAAAAATCGGGGTATTAGTGACTTCTGCCAAGATGGAGGCATAGGTGGAGACGTCGTGCTTCCTCAAATAACCAAGTTTAGAGACAACTAAGTAATAGCAATAGAAAACATAGCCAGAACACAGAAAATTGAACTTTTCAGAAGTCTGATAACAAATTCTTCAGCCTGACCAAGTCATAATCCAGCAACCTAAGTGGCCCTGCCCCAGTGAACAACCTAAGGCTCTGCTCTTCACCCAGCTGTGAGAAACAGCTGAGGGGGCCGCCATTTCCCCACTCTGACCACGCCCCCACATACAGCGTCATAATCCAGCGACCTGGGAGTCCAAGGCTCCGCTCCTCATACTAATGGGCGCAAACAGACCAAAAATGGCTCAAGAAGATCTCAAAGCCCAAGAGACTATAAATCTAAGCTATGAAGAAATAGCAAAACTCTCAGCCCTGGCTGGTGTAGCTCAGTGGATTGAGCACAGGCCTGTGAACCAGACAATCGTGGTTCGATTCCCAGTCAGGGCACATACTGGGGTTGCAGGCTGGTTCCCTGCAGGCCAGTTCCCAGCAGGGGACGCACGAAAGGCAACCATACACTGATGTTTCTCTCCCTTTCTCCTTCCCCCCTTCCCCTCTAAAGATAAATAAATAAAATCTTAAAACAAACAAACAAAAATCTCTCAGATGCACAGTTTAAAACACTGGTGATCAGGATCCTCGTGATCAGTATCCTCACAGAACTGGTTTATTATAGCCACAAATTAGACAAACATATGAAGGCAAAACTAATTGAATGGAATTACATAGGAAACCAATAGCAATGAAAAGGAAACTGGGACTCAAATCAATGGAGTGGACCAGAAGAAAGCAAATAATGGCCAAACAGAAAAGAGTCAAGAAGCAAGAATTCAAAAAAATGAGGAGAGTCTTAGGAACCTCCAGGACATCTGTAAATGCTCCAACATCCGAATTATAGGGGTACCAGAAGGGGGAAGGGAACAGCCACCAGTGGAAAACTTATTTGAACAAATAATAAAGGAGAATGTCCCCAATCTGGCAAAGGAAATAGACTTCCAGGAAATCCAGGAAGCTCAGAGAGTCCCAAAGAAGTTGGACCCAAGAAGAAACACACCAAGGCACATCATCATTACATTAGCCAAGATTAAAATGAAGGAGAGAATCCTAGAAGCAGCAAGAGCTAAGGGGACAGTCACCTACAAAGGAGTTCCCATCAGACTGTCAGCGGATTTCTCAAAAGAGACCTTACAGGCAAGAAGGGGCTGGAAAGAGGTATTCCAAGTCATGAAATCCAAAGACCTACAACCAAGATTGCTCTACCCAGCATTTAGAATGGAAGGACAGATAAAGTGCTTCTCAGATAAGATCAAATCCAAGGAGTTCATCATCACCAAAACCTTATTATATGAAATGTTAAAGGGACTTATCTAAGAAAAAGAAGTTAAAAAAAACATGAACAGTGAAAGGACAACAAACTCACAGTTATTAACAACCACACCTAAAATGAAAGCAAACTAAAAGGACAGCTAGATCAGGAGTGGAAACATAGAAATGAAGATCTCAAGGAGGGTTAGCAACAGGGGAGTGGGAGGAGGAGAAGGGGGGAGAAGATACAGAAAATAAGTAGCATAGATAGTAGATAGAAAATAGATGGGGGGGGCAAGAATAGTATGGGAAATATAGAATCTAAAGAACTTGAGACACATGGACATAAACTAAAGGGGGGTAATGGTGGGGACGGGGGGCAGGGTGGAGGGGAATGAAGGGGGAATAGAACAACTGTAACAGCATAATCAATAAAAAATAAATTAAAAAAAATCATCAGGATGTCACAGAGTACTTGGTCAGCTCTCCAACATTGGGTGTGTCGGGTCATAAAAAAACCCAGTCTGAGTCCTGTCATGTGGGGTGTTAATGTGGGAATGAGTCACCACTGTCTCACTGTCCGGTGCCATCTTCCAGCGGTTTTCAAGGTCAGCCGTTCCTCGAACCGCTGAGCTGGCAGAGAGAACTGGCATGTCCAACACCTTGTGAGGTGTTTCCAACCAAACCCCACCAGCTTGGACTAGACCTCTCGGGCGAGATGCCGCTAGAGCAGCTCTGGGCTTCCAGGCCCCCACGGAAATCGCGCGTGCACGTCTCTGTCCCACCAGGGGTCCAGAAAACAACCCCTTCACACGTGGTCTTCAAATGACCGCAAAGCACCAACTTCTGTTTGCCCAGCCTGGGTGCCATGATCTGGAGGCACTGGCGAGAGAGGACTGGGAGGGGGCAAAGCTCTCCCGAGCGTCCCCACCGGGACACGTGTCTTTCGCGTGCACGGTGCGACTGCAGACGGGGGCTGGGAAGACACTGGGCAGATCTCCCTGGGAGGGGGTGCCGGCCGTCAGAGCCTCGTTCAGGCAGGGATGGGAACTGTCTTTCCCAGGAAGGAAACGCCCCCACTTACCTGACGTATAAATCTGCGTGGTATTTCTTTCCATTCAGGACTCCCAGCAGGGTTGGGTTTTCGTTATTTCTGAAATTGAGTGTACAGTCATATACAGCTGAAACTATAAAAAAATAAAACAAATACAAAGCAGTATAGAGCGTGTGCACCGAGGCTGGTTCTGTAGACACACACATTGGAAAACAAGCGTCAAGTGCTAGCAGGTCACGGTGGAGCCTGGGTGACGGTCTCTCCTCCGTGCTGTTCTGCCCTTGACCCAGTGCCCTGGTCGAGCACGCCCCCCTGTGTAGCCAGAAAAGCACACCAGGACTTAGGGCCAGAACCAGGGCGTTGCTGAGGTCAGGGGAGTGGGAGGCAGCCTCCAATGTCCCACCTGGGTGTCCAACAGCACACACCAGTGTTTAAACGGGCCAACAGTGAGGCCCGTCGGTCGGAGGTGTGCTAAGGGCTTGTCTGAGCCATGGCAGCACAGCCCTGAGGGGCACTTTTCCCCGAGAAAAGCAGGGCGGCGAGGCCCGGCAGAAGGGTGCTGGGCATTCTTAAGGCACGGAGCTCTGCTCCCTCGACATGTAGCTGAGAAACGAACATGAGGACTTTACCACTTGGGGTGGGCAATGCCCCAGAAGGCCACTCACTGTCCACACCACAGCATCGGACCCCAACCCCTGAGCATGGGGGGCCCCCAGGGACACAGAGGAGGCCTGCGGGCCAGGCCAAAGCCCTGTTCGACCACTGCGTCTCTTCTCTCTGGGGTAGCGCCCAGCTGCCCCTACACCCAGCCAGACACCAGGAGGGCTGTGGGGGCGGCTGAGCTGCCCCGGACCCCCAGCTCTGCCCTTCTGGCCCCTTTGGAGAGGAGGGATGAGGGACTTTGGGAGGACAGCCGGTCCCCTGGCAGGAAGAGAACGAAGAATGGCACCTCTGACCTGAAGGGACAGGTTGAGCAGCAGTTATGGTTGCTACTTTCTTTCTCACCTACAGTGACTTAGGGCTCCAAACTCAAGAGGGCCAGCGGCTACACATGACCAGGTCACAGAGTTCATCATCTGGGGGTAGTGGTGCCAGCAGATGAGCAGGAAATGCAAACAAGACAGCATGTGGGGCCACAGTGGACCCAGGAGACGCCTGGCTTCCCCAAGGTGCACAGCCATGCAGTACCGGTGCTGAGCAGTGGAGGGCAGTGTTGCCTCTGTGAGTGTGAGCATCTGCATGTGCTAGGCAGGCAAGCAGTGGCCACACCTCCCACGCAGGTGCCTGGCCCCTGGCTAACCAGGTGTGCACGTGCTCCTGGGGTTGGCTGGCGAAGAAGCCCCACCAGGGACCCAGCAGTGCCTGTCGGGTGTGGGCTCGTTCTCCTTGCTGCAGTGAGGCGCCGGGCCCGGGGTCTTCCTTACCTACATTTCTCAGACTCCTCACAGTGACTGCGAAGCCCTTGGTGCGCGGCAGCAGGTGGTGCTTGAGGCTGGGCAGCCCCTTGGCCTGGGCCACCTGCATGCTGATCTGGTGCTTCTTCTCCGTGAACCGCGTGCCCTCGCAGTGAATCAGGAACTGCAGGGACAGGCCAGGGTCACGCAGTGTCCCGGTCCCACACGCCCTCCCCCATCGCATGCCCGAGCCACACGTGTTCCCGGGGAAGCCTCTGGGGCGTGGCCAGAGCGGGATGACTGACAGCTGTGCCTGTCCTCTGCCCACAGCTCAGCGCAGGACATCTGGCTCCCCAGTGTGTGTGTGTGTGTGTGTGAGTGTGAGTGTGCGTGGATGTGACAAGAGCACCCTGGGTAGGCGCATGGACCACTAGGTGCAGGGGTGGTGGGGGCCTTACGTACGAAGTACTTCTCGGGGTAATCCCGGAGGTGCAGCAGGCTCCTGGAGACAGTCTTGCGGTCCTGCTCCCACTTGCGGGTGCAGAAGACCATCTCTGTGAAGTACCACATCCAGCCGATGATCGGGACGTAGGCCAGCTCCTTCTTGGCCAGGACCTTGGAGCCCTGGAGCAGAGGAGGGGCCCAGGGCAGGGTGTCAGGGAGAGGGCATCATACCGTCCCACTGCCCCAGAAAAAGAGGATGAGCAGTCATTCTAAACGCCTGAGGGGACTGTCCAGAGCCCAGAAAAGCAAGAGGCACTCCCTGCTGGTCAGCCAGAGGTCAAGGTTGTGTCAAGTCAGCCCTGTGGGGCGGGGAGGGTGGGCGTTTGCGTGGGCACCGGGATGGTCAGGAACATTAAGGGTCTCAGTGGTCACCATCGCCTGTGCTCACTGAGCCCATCGTGAGTTGCAAGGGCACTTGACCAGCTCTTCCCATCGACCTCCCTCGACCCCCAGGCCACCTGCATTCTCTACAGGGCCCTCCTTTCAGAGACGAGGGAGTGGGGTGCCAGGTCACCAGGAAGTTCACCACCTGTCCCTTTGCCAGCATCTCCTGAAGGCTGAGGCTGGCCCAAGGCCCAAGGACTTGGCCCACTGGCAGGCTGGTGCCCTGGGCTGCTGGCACGGGCCCCTGGCCAGCTGCGCCAGGCTGCATGGCTGCCCCTAGTCTGGGAAGACCAGGACCCAGTGGGGGCAGGGTGCAGGCGGGGGAGACACAGAAACAGCCTTTTAACAGTGAATTTGGGTTCCAAAATTTTCTCCCCTAATTTTGGAACTGGCCAAGATGCTCTGTGAAATAGCCATCACTGGCCAATGGCACAGGTGACTGAGGTGGTGACATGGACAGTCAGGGTGGCCTGAGCTGGGCTCCTGGTGACAGGTGTGTCTGGTTATGGAACCCACAGGGCCCAGAGGCGAGATCCCTGTCACCTCGGCGATAGTCACAAAGTCCCAGCTCACAGAGGCACAAGGCCACGCCCCCCCACCCTGTGCAGAGGCGAACAGCCATTGTTCTCTTTACCGTTTTTTTTAAATACGTTCCCCAAAGGAGGAAGGACCTTTCAGGGTTAGTGTCTCCATGTTATTTGTACCCCTGACAAATCCAACAGGCGAATTCTCCCGAGAACAAGCCTTACGGTGCCCGTGGGCCAAGGACTCGTCACGCGTGAGGTGAGGGCTTCCCTCACACCAGGCACAGGTGGCCCAACAGAGGCTCAGGGATGTTAAGTGGCTTGTGCAGCATCACACAGCAAACAGCAGGGGAGGCTGAGAAACCAGGCCGCTGGTCTGTCAGAGGCTGACGTCCACGGCCAACGCTGATGACTGTCCCAGGTCAGATGCTGGGCCCCTCCCCAACAGCCATCGTTTCTTCCTCTTTGACCGGACTCCCCATTTTGCTCTAAGGGCAACACGCTCAGTCTGCAGGGTGACCACGAGTGACGTCAGCCCAGGGTCCCCTGGGCCCCTTAACTTAGTGTGGACAGATGAGCCCATTCTGGGCAAGGTGTCTCAGAGGTCACTCGGGGGGTGCAAGCGTTCTGGGGCTTCTGCGAAGGCTTGGATCCCCGAGAAAAGGGGAGATGACCGGGAGGCCTGGCTTGGTTTTCCGCCATGAACATCGTTGCTGAGAACGTCTCGGCTTCACTGGTCGTGTGGCAACCCCAGACGACAGCCCAGAAATGCTGAGGCCATTGGGGCCACCGCTGTGGAGGGACCCGGCTGCAGCCCTGTGGTCCTTTGAGGTCAGGCATGTTCTCAGGGTGGAAGCCCCTGATCCAGGTGCGTGACGTCTTGAGCTGACTGGCGCCTGCAGAAGGTCCAGGACGGGTGGGGCGTCCCCCCCTCAGCCCCTCAGCCCCGCTCTGTCAGCAGGGGTGGCCCCCTGTGCCCTGCTTCCGTCATTCCTGTCACCTCCCTACTTACAACCTTTGAGATGAAAACAAAGCCCAGAGTCTTCACCGATGAACTAGCCCTGCCTCCTTGATAGGTGAAGGCTATTTTTAAAAATTACATATACCTGAACTCACTCCAAAAATAACATGGCACTGTTAAAGTTATAAAAGATGACCTGCCTCATTGCCACGAGGGGACCGCGTGCTCTGAGCCACAGCTGTGGGGCCTGGCGGGGGGCGGCCCTGGAATTTAACACGTGGAAACACGCCAGAGTGCAGAGTTGAGACCCTGACACGTGGGTGTCAAATAGTGTGTAGCTACTGTCACCCCCCGAGGAACCACGTGGCTGAACGTTTCTGAATGCGGCCCGTTCCCTAAGCCGCACTTCCTTCCGCGTGTGGTAATGACAACAGACTGCACCTGTCACAAGCCCGGGAGTGGGCACCGCCGGCCCACTGGCCAACCCCCACGCAGCGCCCACAGGCTGCTGGAAAGAGCTGCTTTAAGGACACACAGAGACCCCGCAAACTCCAACCGGGACAGGGTGGCTCTCATCTCCGTGAGGTGACGTGGGTGGGATCAGGACTCTCCAGGTAAGGACGGCTGTGACAGGGCCGCCACCAGCTGACGCGATGGAACCACGAAGCATCGATGGCGGGTTTGTGTCGTGGTTGGCACCCGGAGGGCACTGCTGTCAGTCCCAGTTCCACGACGCCCCCCCCCCCCCCCCCCCGACTGCTCTGGGGAGACGGCAGGGAGCACAGTCGGGGGCTGAGACCAGTGCCCCGGTCGGCCCCGCATCCAGCTGCTGCCTCCTTCCAAACAGGTGGCCGTTCCTGCAGGGTCACCGGTGCAGCCACGAGTCAGTCACTGGGGTTCACCCGGTTTATTTATTTCTACCAAACACGTAAAATGTCTGGACGGGGTGTCCTAAGTGAAACTCTGAAGACAGGTGAGACTTGAGCGTGAAGCGGGCTGGAACATCCGCAGGTCACCTCTGAATTCCTTCTCGACTCTGAGCTCGAGAGACAGTCGCAGACGTTGAAGCCGGAGACCAGCCGGTGGTCCTTGGGGCCCGGCAAGTCGCCCGCAGCTCAGCCTGTTTGGACGTGTGATACGTGAACCTCAAAACTGTCCTGTCTGTGCCACAGACGGTTACTTATTAAATACCTCCCCCGTGCGGGCGTGTGCCTGGAGCTGGGCACACAGAGATGGGCAGGGTCATCCATGGCCAGAGGGGCTCGAAGTGCAGTGGGAAGAGAGGAACAGCCAGCCATGTCTGTGGCATGTCTCTGCCCCAAACTCGGTGACACAGTAGCTGAACAGACACACTCTCCATCAGGTGGAGGGGTGAGGACGAGCGGCCGAGACTGGAACCTCCTTCACCGTAGTAACTGCAGGAGACCAGACGGGAGCTCCGAGTAACTCACCAGGGGCGTGTGCGCAGCAGAAGGTGACAGACTCAGCTCGTGCCAATGAGGGTCACACAGACGTGGCCCGACTCTGCTTACGCCGCACGCTTTCTTTTTTTTTTTCCAGTGAATTTTTTAATTTATTTTATTTTATTTTTTAAATTTTTTTATTGATTATGCCATTACAGTTGTTCTATTCCCCCCTTCATTCCCCTCCACCCTACCCCCCCATCCCCACCATTACCTCCCCTTTAGTTTATGACCATGTGTCTCCAGTCCTTTAGATTCTATATTTCCCATGCTATTCTTGCCCCCCCCCCATCTATTTTCTATCTACTGTCTATGCTACTTATTTTCTGTACCTTCTCCCCCCTTCTCCTCCTCCCACTCCCCTGTTGCTAACCCTCCTTGAGATCTTCATTTCTATGTTTCACCACACACTTTCTCGTGTGTGAGAAAACACATCTCCCTCTGCTGATGCTGCAGGAGAAAATGCAGGAGACCCAACACCACTCGGCCAGTCTCAAGAGCCGGAAACAAAATGAAGGATGTTCCGCAACTAGTCATGGCCACGGGAGAGTGTGTAACGCAGACAAACAGGAGGTCTCGGGCCCCTGGGTCAGGGCTCCAGAACAAAACAGATGGGAGGTGCTCACTGCCCAGGCCCTGCTCCCTGTCCCTGGATGCAGACCCTGGTGATTCCTTCTGTTCCGAACGGCAGCCCAAGTCCCTCCCTGGGTGGCCCAGGACGAGGGTGACACAGCAGAAGACATGCCAGGGCAGGGTGGGCGGTCAGGCTCCCCAAGTGCAGAGGACAATGGGAGGGCGTTCCTGGCCCAGCACCTCCTTGCCTGTGGGTCTCGAACAGGCAGAGGGGACAGCTGCAGGTGTGACAATGGGGGCTGCGGTGGCGGTGCCAGTGTGGGGGGGTGTAGGAAGAGGGGGAGGAAGCCAGGGCTGTGCTGCTGCAGTGAGCGCCTGGACCACGATGCAGGGGGGACGGGCCTTGCTCCTTAACGGTGCTGCCGGGAGTCAAGGCAGTGAAACGGCAGGGCGGGCCGTCGAGGGTCTGACTCGGGACTTCTCAGTGAAGCCCGAGCCCACGCTTCCCGGTGCCGCTGGAGGGCTGCCCGGTGCCACCCCCGCCCTCCCACTCCCCGCAGCCTGCAGCCAACACGCTCCCCGCATCGTGGCCCGTGGCGACCCCCGCTGTGTGGCAGGCCGAGCACCCTTCCCCACCGTCTTCGTACGAAGGGGACTGTATCTTTCGATCCACCGTTGTGTGTGCATAGGGTCCAGCAGGGGGTCTGCCACAGGGAACACCCCAAGGCACGCCTGTTGGAGAAGTGTTCCGAGGACTCATGACGACTGCTATCATCCTCAGTTCTCCGGTGCCGATGGCATCCCACAGAGCGCCCTCTGCTTAGGGACAGTCACGCTGCTCGCCTCCAGGGACAAAGAAATGCAGCACAAATGCCATCTGTCTCCAGGTGGAGCTGCAGCGGATCCCCTCGGTGGTGCTTCCTGAGCGGGAAACATGTCGGTCTCCCGCTAACCCCGGTGTGGGGTGGCAGGCGGCCCCACGCCTGCCCTGCAAGCCTGCCTCCTGGGGCTCCCACCCGGGGGCTCCTGGACTCTGTTCTTGCTAATGGGGTACGACCCATGCGGTTACTCGAAGGCTGTGGCTTCGGCCCTGGGTGCTTCCTCCTCTCCCGCAGCACACACTGTAGGGGAAGCCAGGCCAGGCACCAGGTCAGGGGGGAACCTGGAGAAGAGGCCCCGAGGGAAGGGGTCCGAGAGCATGCGGCACAGGGGCAGAGCCCCCTCCCCACCCTCACTGGTGAGGCCCGGCCCGGCTGTGCCGGGATCCAGACATCTGGGGCCCGTTGTGCTGCCAACGGAACGGCTCTACGTGGCTTCCCGACGGACTGAGGGAAGCGGCCCAGGTGGCCTGCGGTTAACCAAGCCACACCCACAGCTGGGATGCGGCCGTGCCGGGGCCTGGCGCTGCTTGAAGCCGGGCAAACGTGATCTTCAGTAACCTTCCGGGGCCGCACACCCATGCTCCTGGGATGAAGACGTCGCCCAGGCCGGTTCACTTGGCCGTTTAGTGACACGCTCTCCCTGTCCTTGCGTCTCACTCAGCCCGTCAGGACAGATCCAGTCCGCACTGTGAAGTGACCGGTCGGAGGGGCCCAAAGCCTGCAGGGACCACACGGGCCCTTGGAAACTGACAGGTGACCAACCTTCCGTCATCTCTGGGCCACACTGGGAGGAGAAGAGTGTCTCAGCCCACACGTGACATACACTGCAAAGAAATCTCATCCTAAGTAAATTTGTGATTTTGTGTTGGGCTGCGTGCGTAGGCATCCTGGGCTGCTTGCGGCCCACGGGCCCCAGGCTGGGCCCGGAGAACGTCTGCAGACCTCACTCGCTCGGGCCGTTACCTGTGCAGGAGGATGCCCCGTCAGGAACCCCCCTCCCATCTCGTCTCGCAGAGCAAGCCCTCCTGACCGCGGAGGGGACTCGCCGTCATGCGTTATTTTTGTAAGGAGATGACTCGGGTGACTTGCGTGAAGGTCATTTGAGATACCAGGTGCCGCTGACAGTGACTATAACGAGATGCCCTTTCCATGCCTTCCAAGGGCGGGTCACTTTGGAAAGTGGCCATGCCCTGACCTGACCTCCACTGCTCCTGGAGACACACAGATGGTGAACTGTTCCCTGCCCGTAGTCAGGACATGTCCCTCGGGGTCAGACAGCTTCCCCCCCAGCTGCTGGCCCCGGCAAGGTCCCCTGGTGGCACCTGCTGCCACTCCACATTTTGCTTCAGCAGAATTTGTGCGTCCCCAGCTCGGCCGTCTGTCCAGTGCTTGGGGACCGGGGACAGTGTCTTGTGCGGCCCCTCTCTGCCCTCACCATAGTTCTGCGGTTTTCAGGGCCCCCCAGCTCCGGCGAGCAGGGGAGATGCGTCGTCCTGGACAAAGGGCTGAGGCCTGCCTGCGTTGCACTGCATGGAGCCCCCCGAAAACTGGTCCTCACCCAAGGACAGGCTCCAGGTACGGTGGCCACACACACGCCCCTTGTACACATGGCCTTCGCCGTTAGTTTTTGTCTGAGTAAGCGACCAGGTCCTGGCAACATGGTGTGCCCGTGGGAAGTGAAGGCTGGGGCACAGGCAGGTCGACACCACGGGGTTCGGTTCCGTTCCCGGGAAAGTGCAGGAGTACACCCACGCACACGGACACCAAGTCAGGGCTGGAGAGAAGACACGGAACCGCCTGCCGGTGACCACGGGCAGGAGGCTGGGTCCTTTCCCACAAGTCCTTTCGGTGCCGGCACCACGGGCAGTCCAGGTTGCTAGGAGCCCTGGGGCGGAGTGACTTAGGCTGCAGCTGCACCTCCCGGAAAACTGTAGGGCTGGGCGGCCTTTGGGTGGTTTAACTGCCTAACGACGACCATCGTTTGTCCCACAGACGTTAATGGGATGCGTTTGGTGCAAATGTCCTTCTCTCTGCTTTTGCTCCAAATTGAAAAAAATACACGTCTCACGGGCATTTCGTCCCCCTCAGCCGAGGGTCGTCCCAAACAGGCCTGGCAGACAGGCCCCACCCTCTGCTGCCGACCCGGAGGCTCTTAGGCACTTCGGGGACCAGGTATACTGGCCCCCAGGGCACCTGCCCCTCGGGCTCCGGACCCATCTGCTCGCCAGGCCTTCAGGTTCCTGCACTGTGAACACCCTGGTTTTGTCTGCAGGGGCCGCCAAAGACAAGTGTGGAGAGAGCAGCCCCCTATCTGTCTGTGGGGAGTCATCTCGGAGCCCCAGGCCAAGCCCCACGTAGCTCCTGTTGGCACCCCCAGAGCCCGAGGTGACTTGATTCATTACCAGCACACAGTCCACTGCGGGCCTGCTGATGGTGACCAGGGTCCACTCAGGGGACCGCACCCAAAGGCAGGCGAGGAGTCAAACCAGTTGGAGGGAAACAGAATTTCCTGTTTATTCCGAGTTCTGCTGTTCAGACTCTCCCTGGGGGAACCAACTTTCTGAAGCCCCGGAGATGAAAACCTAGAGGTGAGTGCGGCCTGTTCGCCGCGAAACCAGACCATGGGGGTGGAGAACATGAAGCAGTGTCAGGTGAGATGGACTCGAACCCAAACCTGCAGAGCAGCTGCGGGATCCTGAGCCCACGTTCAACCCTGGCTTTTTAAAAAGCCAGGTGCGCCTTGGCCGAGTGACGGGTGGGGTGGAGTGTTGTCCCTACAGCAAAAGGTTGTGAGTTCGAGTCCTGCCTATGGGAGGCAAAGAATCAATAAAGGATCAATGTTCCCCTCTCACATCTTTTCTTTTTTTTTTTTTGCTTTCTCTAAAAATCAATAAACATATCCTCAGTGAAGATTGAAAAATAAAAACACAGTTAAAATGCAGGGTGTGTATCGCCTGCTCACACACACGCATCTGTAAGGTAAATGGACGGACCACGTGTAAAGTGCCTGGTGCCCAGACACCGCTGAGAGAGTGGACACTGTTGTTGCTCGTGGGGAGAGGCTCACCCTCCTTCCAAGCTGGAGGGAAAAGCAGATGGTCAAATGTTGGGGGCTGGGATAAGCCTGAAACAGGCTGATACAATCCGACCTGAAGGTTATATGCGAAAATCCTCCTCTAAAAATTGGACCATCCTTAAGTTTCTTGGCTCCGCCCCCTATCAAAGCAATGAGAGACAAGCTCAATTTCCCCCCGGACTTTTAACCCAAATCCAGTCCGCGGGTCTTAAAGCATGGAGGCGCCTTCCACAAAAAGGTACCGCAACCACTTCTCTTGCAAAAAATAAGACAAGGCCCAGATGAGCCATACAGTGATTTTATAAGTCGTTTACAGGAATTAGCTGAGAGGCTCTTTGGCGCGGGCGAAAGTAAAAACGCTTTCGTTAAACACTTAGCTTATGAAAATGCCAACCCCACTTGCCAAAATGCCACCCGCCAAGGAGAGCTCTGTGACTATGTTCGCCTCTGCTCCGGCATCTAATCAAACCCAGGGATAAGCCATACTCCCTGAGGGACTTCTCTCTCCTTTCTATTACAGGAAACAGAACGCACCGAATAAACATCATTATACTACTCGGAACACTCCCATACCTAAAGACAGACGGAGGACGAGAAGGACCACCCCAAAACCCCTGCCTCGCCCTATTTGGACAACCCTGCGTCTGTAAAGGAAAAGAACTTTCCGAACACACCCTTTGGGGTGGACTCAACGGAATTCTCCCCTACCCCCTTCCCCTCTTAGGACCTTTAGTTTCTATCACCCTCATCCTCTCCTTTGCCCCCTGGATTCTTAGACGTATAACTAACTTAGTCAAAGACCAACTTAACAGTGTACTAGGAAGACCTATTCAGGTGCACTATCAACAATTAGAAATGCTGGAACATGGAGCGGACTCTGAGCCATACAGCCGCTGGGGTGCTAGCCCACGATTCCTGCCAGGTTCCCCTCCTGCGGGAGCAGCATAACCCTCGAAGATATGCTTCACAGCCAAGTAGCTGTGATAGACACCGCTGGGTGCAAGGCAAAGCACTGCAAGGAGAGGCCTGTACATACGGCCACTTCAAGTCTCCTGAGAGGTAAGCTGACTTGCAAAGAGGTTGGTACCCAACTCCTCTCCTCCCAAAAGGTACCCTAAAGCTCAGAATGAGCCCAGGAGGAGTCTGGCCTCTGCCTCCCCCAGCCGGTTAAAGTCTACCCTATCTACATTCTCCTCGTCCTCAAAGCAATAAAAAGGCAAGTCGGCTTGCATAGAGGTCAGCGCCCCAACCCTCTCCTCCGAAAAGGGTGCTTCAGAGCTCGGGACGAGCTCAGGAGGAGCCAGACCTCTGCCTCCCCTAGCCGGTTAATGTCCACTCCTCACCTTAAAAATAAAAATAAGGGAGGAGATGTTGGGGGGCTGGGATAAGCCTGAAACAGGCTGATACAATCCGACCTGAAGGTTGCGCCTGAATAACAGGATGCTGCGGTTAGGAGCCATGGAACGCCCCCTCCTGGACATGCGGGTGGCACACCAATCAGTGCCTTGATCACGCGCCCGCCATGCACCCCCCCGGCCAATTGCAGGCTAGAGCACGCTTTGAAGCCACCTATCCACTGCACTTCCCTCCACTGCCCTCCTCTATATAACTCCCTCCATTTTGAAATAAAATTTGCAGCTTGATCAGAATCCTTTGTCTTGCTGCCATTCTTCGCGCCTCCTGTCCCATCCCCCTTCATCCGTTACAGGTACATCGGCGGACCCCGTTGACTGCCTCGTGGGCCGAGGCAGTCAAACACATTGGCTCTGGTGGGAACTCCATTAAACGCTGGCAAATTCTGTGTACCCGAAGCAAGAGGCGCACTGCGGTGTGAGCCAGGGAAAGGTGTCAGGAGGGCGAACAAACGGAGCGTCCAACTTACCCCCAGAACCCCGAAGCGCTCGGCCAGGCTCCAGCCGCAGAGGAAGTCGATCTCAAACTTGTGGTTCAGAACGACAATGGCGTTTTCCTTCCCGAACCTGGGGTAGGCCTGGGGGTCCGTGTGGATGACGCACTCGGTGCCCGACCACCACTCCAGCAGCATGACCAGCTCTGCAGGAGACCACAGCAGACACAGGTTTACCCCACGCATCCTCCGTGACGGGGGCGCCCTGCCGGGTGACCCGCTCACCGCCCCCGCCAGACCTCAGTCCCAGAAAGGGTCCTGGAGCAGGAGGGGAAAGAAGACCCCCCTGCAGGCGGCTGGGAAGGAGAGGAGCTGGAGAGGACAAGCAGCTTGTTTGCACTCCCCAGCGAAGGGCCTCTGGGGAAAATTGATCAGGGAGCCGGAATCCATCAGGAATCCTTGCCCTGTGCGCACAGAACCCTGAAAGGCAGTGAGATGGTAAACAGACTCCTTACCTCCCAGTATCCCAGGAGGTGACTGGTGGGGATACTTACAAACTCTGTCAAAGGACACTGGGTACCCAGTTTTTCTCCCCCGCTTGCGCCACTTGGGTGCACCAGGAATAACTAAAATAATCAGGCGGGAGGCAGAAGCCCCAGCGCCTCAAGGGTGGGGGACAATTCGAGCTGCTACACTGCGGGCCTGCGTGCAAGTATGAAAACGGTCTTTCTAGGAGCCGGTGAAGATGGAAAAGTCTTTTCCCAGGCCGTAATGACTGATGGACTTTACCCAGTGAACAGTGAACTCCCAACCAGGCAGCCTCTGAAAGAGCCTGTGTGTAGAAGAAGTGTACAGAAAAAACGGCTGAACAAACGTCAGTGAGTAAACCTACAGGTACAGAGAGGCTTTGAGATGCACCGCTCAGGCCGCAGGTGTTTGGCGGGCGGCAGGTGGGTGTGAGCCCTCTGGGAAGGCTGTCCCCCGTTTTTATCACTGGTAGTGGGGTACACGCTTAGCAGAGGGCTCACTCACGCACCACCCCTACACACACACACACACACACACACACACACACACACAGAGGCAGGCATGGCCCCAACTTTGGTCTAGCCTCGTGTTTGAAAGGCCTGAGTGGCTGCCTTTGCACACTTTCTCCTCGAGGCCGGAGACTGGTGCTTCTGGACCAGAGTGCCGGAACTCTCTAGAAGGCATTACAGTTGTTTCTACGCAGTGAGTGCTGTGGGACCTTGGACAAGTGAACCTTGAAGTGCCAGCGTCCTAATCTTCAGAACGGGTTTGCCTCATCGAGCTCTGTGAGAATTAAAGTGCACAACGCATAGTAGGTGCTCTGTGCACGTCACATAGTAAGTTCCCAACAAATGCAGGCACTTGGCACCTATCGGTGTTTGATTAAAACAAACCGAAGCACAGCCTGCACTTGACAAGAACAGTGCCTGCCTGCTCCTTGGAGCTGAGAAAATGCTAAGCTCCGCATCAGCTGTCCCACAAGTGGTCACCTCGGCCACCCAGACGTGGCGAGTGGAGGAACAAAGATCGGTGTTTGGGAGGCTGGAGCACACCTGTGCCCTGTCAGGGCCCCACCCAGGAGGGCCACTTCGGAAAGTGGCAGAATATGACCACTTCCGGGTCAGAGGCCGCCAGGTACAGAGAAGCCCAGACTCAGAGCCCGCGCTAGCCCCGTGCTCCAGCCGCCTGGGCCTGGCCCTACTGTGCGCTGTGATTATTTGGGGAGCCAAGGAGATTGCTGCCCTGAGGCTGAGTCAGCCCGGGAGGCTGCTGGGGGTCCTTAGGTCCATAAAAGGGAAAGGGGAGAAGAACAGCACCCCTGGAATGGGGAGGCCGCTGACAGTCTCACTCCCTGGAGAGTTCGGGCAACTCCACACGTTCCCTCTCTGATCATCTGTTACTGCTGACCTTTGTGGGGCCAGCACTGACCCTCTGGGCCCTGCCGGGTCCAGGAGCCCGGGGTGGGATGAAGCGGGGCAGTCTGCCTGTCATTGGCCTCTCGTGGGGTGAGTAGGCATTGGGTCCCCATGGGATGAACAATGGCCCCAGAGGACTGGGCAGAGGCCCAGGGCCACCCCTCCGCTCTCCCCAGCCTGCCTGTGGGCACATTCCAGTGTTTGTCCTACAGTCAGATGCTACTGGGGCAATGAAAGGACCTAGTTTCCCGAGCCAGGCAGGGGGCTGGGGGTCGTCCTGCTCTGCTCACCACCCCTCCCCCAACCAAGAGCGCACACTGCCTTAGGTCAGGCCTCTTCTCTGTCTCTCGGAGCGAGACGCACAGTGACGGCAGGCCCAGGGGTCGCTGGGACCTGCAGAGATGCTGCAGTGGCCCGGCCCGACCCTCGGTCCCAGGGCCCCTCTGTGCTTCCTCATCTCACTGGCCGAGTGAGGTGACACCCACAGGCTGTGCGGGTTCAGAGGTCACCCAGGTCCTGGCCTGAGCCACCTCTCAGCGTCCATCCCTGTCCTCACGAACATTCCCACGTGACTGTGACGGCAGACGGGGCTGATGCCCTGCGTTTTGGGCCCCCCGCCCCGCCTCTGGCCATGCCACTTTATTCCAACCCCAGAGCAAATCCAGACACAGCAGGGTTTGTTCAAAGCAGGGGATGGAGCACATGCTCGGGGCCCAAGCCAGGGAGCGGTGACCCCTCTTCCGGCATGGAAGCCACAGCTCAGTGTTTCAAAAGGAGGCGTGGTCCCCGGGTCCCGCCCAGCCTCTGATCTGTCAACTTCCAACACAGAAACTGCCCACCCCGAAGCCCACGCACCTACTGTAACAGGTCCCTCCGCCTGCTTCAGCCCCAGTCCCTGGCTGGCACGCCAATTCCAGAGGCCCTAGGACTGAGGAATGCGATTTTCCCCGGAGGTGTGCGGTGAGTCCCTCATAACAGACAGGATCTGTGGCCAAGACTTCTCCAATAAGATACAGCAATCTCGGAACCTTTGTCCCAAGTTCAAATGCTCACTTTGCCAGATGTTGCCGTCTTCCCCTCCCACTGCTGCTCCCTGAGGGAGGGGAGGCCGAGACCAGCGGCAGCAGTAACTTCTCCGTCCCCCCACGCCTGGCTCTGGCCAGCTGCTGCTGCTGCCTGTTATACAAACTCCACGTGGGGGCCCTTGGGGACAACTTCCAGTTAGGGCTGGTCAAGGCCAGGGAGGGCATGTGGCCCGAGGAGTTACCTTCAGTGCAAAATCCCAATCTGCTGCCTAGGATTTGGGGCAATGGAGGGACCAGGCCCGGGGGCTCTGAGGACCAGGGTCTGTGCCAGGGTCTGTCTTGTGGCTGCTGTTGTGCAACAGAAAACACGCCAGGGGACGAGGGGAAGATGGCAGAGGGGCGTCCGCTGGTGTTTGTGGTGGCGGCGGAGGAGGAAACGAGTGCTCAATCCACCGCCGAGGCCTCTCGTGGCCCGGCAGGCCCTCCTTCACCACCAAACCCTCCGGCCGAGTCCCTCCCAGCCCGGCAGCACGGCTGCTGTCCCTCCTCTCTGTGGCCCGCCTGGTAGAGGTGCCCAGGAGAACGTGGCGGGGGGGGGGGCAGCTTCCTGCAGGAAAGGCCTGGGCATCTGACCGCCGATCAGAGCCCCGCCGGTGCACACGCGTCAGCGACCGCCAGCCGAGGGAGAGGCGACAGAGGAAAACGGCGCTTTCCTAATTACCGTTACCTAATCCTAACCATTCTTCGGTCACATGTGTAATTACACGTGATCTCTCACATTAAGTATATATAATTATGTACTTGTAATAGCTTTTTATAACGTAACTTTTCACTGGTAAGCATTTAGGTGAACTATTAGGCCTCTTATCCACAAAAAAGCACCTCCAAAATGCAAAAGTCAAGACATTTCTAGCTCTCGGCTGTCATTTTCTCTCCGGCACTGCGGGCGGAGGACTGGGCCTCTCCCTGTCCTTGCACCTGGGCCGTGCCCCACACCTCCGCCACAGGGGCCCACCTGGCACTCGGCCCCGCCTAGAAACTGGAGTGAAAACATGAGACCAGGTAATTAGTGGCAGCTCTGGCTCCCAGCTGACCTGAGCACACAGGGGCTAGGGTCAGGGTCAGGGAGCCACAGAGACAGGCATGGAGTTCAAGAACCACAAGCACCTTTCCTGTCCCAGCTCTGGATGCAGAGTCTGGGTTCCTGATGGACACCAGCTGCCTACTGGCCCCTGCCCACCTTGAGGGTTGACTGTGGGGCCAGCGTGCACCCCCTGAGTTGGCTTCACCCTCGCCCCCAGCCCAGACCCAGCCACGTCCGAGGACCACGCTCGCCACTGCCTCCCCTTCCCCACGCCTGTCTTCCCGACCACGCGGTACCCATCTTTGCAGGTGTGAAACATGCCCGGGTTTCCACGCAATCTTAGCTCTGCAGACACAGACACGATCCTCCTGACACTGGGTGTGCCTGACACACATGGGCCCTCGCTTGTATTTTATCCCGAACAGTTTCTAGTTGTTCAACAGCCTGTCCCTTCCGGCCATAACCAGGTTCCAGGGCTTCCTTTCTGTGACACTCCACCGGACCCAGCTGTACCTGCCACACATCACCCCATCCAGAGCCCTCCAAGCTTCCCTGCTCACATGTCCAGGTCACCTGACAACACTGAGGCAAGGGGCCCATGAACAGATACGAGTGTGTCTCTGCTGCCAAGGTGCCAGGGGACAATCGGGGAGCAGCGTCTCACAAGGCTCCGGAGGGGGCAGGAGAGAAGGGAAGTGTGAGAAGCTGTCCAGCTCATCCTGATGCAGACGGATCGGCTAGGAGCTGGGATCACGGGACCATGCTGCCCCGCCCCCATCACTGTCCCCTCCCAGCCCTCCGGGTGCCTGTCCCCTCGCAGGCTTTGCATGGGCAGGGTGAGGGGGCATGGACTCAACCTGGTGGGTTCTCGGAGCTCAAACCTCAGAGAACGGAGGCTGCTACGCTATGACCCTTCCCCAGGGACGGCAGGTCACGGCCACAAGGGGCCATGATGACGTGTATCTGGAAGGAGCTGCCCTTCCGGCTCACGTCCTCGCAAACAGGGAGGACATTGGGGCACCGACTGCAGACAGAGGTGGACTGAGAGCAGGCGGGGCTAGTGCGACTGGCGTTTACGTGTGGGCTGGGGTGAGTGACGCCAGGAGCGGAACAGCGGCCTCCTATTGAGCGGACTCACCGCCCCATTTCCAACC